GGGGAGAAGAGGAGGAGCAGCACGGATGTGGGGAAAAAAATTATTAAACACGACGATATCGGTTACCATCCACGCTGATGCAAATGGTCCATAAATTTGTAAAATTACATTGAAAATCAATGCGCCGGGGAGGAACAAGTAGCGCGCGGAAGAGCAGGAGGAAGTTTTAATAAAAACTCCCTATCCTTTTTGTCAACGCGCGCGCTGCTCTCAGCGATATTAAAACCCAACGCGTAGGTAGTTTCATCGAAATAAACGAGCCTAGATATTCTTAACGTTTTACCGGGTGTATCGCGAAAGTAGTGAGAGGAGAGAGAGAGAGAGAGAGAAGGAAGAAAGAGAGAGAACAGAGCGTGGGTGGAACGAAAAAAGAACAGATTGACCTTATTCCCATAATAGCTCGCCCATGCCATTCGATCGACTCTTGTTTATCAATGAGAATCTAAGCCGCGAATAAACGGTGGAACGTCGATAACCATCACGCTCGTACACCCTCGCGCGAATCTCTCTAGCTGCGGTGAAAGTGTATCGATCCGCGGGATCGATCCGACCCGCTTTCAGATTCCAGCTGGTCTGGCTGCGCCGCGCATGTTTCGTTATCCGCTCGATCGTTCCGCTGTAATCGGTTCTACGGTCACACACGAAACAATGTTCGCTTTCCTGGGGAGGGAACCGACCAACGATGAACCTATATCGCGATGCTATTGATGCATAGAGATATATATATTTTACATATATGTCTGTATTCGGCTAGGAGCAGATATAGAAGGGTTGATTTATTAGGTGGGAAATTCGAATTCGCGGCCTGATTCATCGCGGACCGCAGTCGAATCCAGTAAACATCTTCGATCCTCTCCCCCCCTCTCTCTCTTCCTAGCTCGCGTGCACGCGCGTCGTAATTTCCATCCGCCACTTCTCCCCTCTCTCCTCGAGGAAATCACATTTACGCGGACGTTTCCGGATGATTAGTCGGCAAACAATTAGCGCATCGAGCGAAGAGGAGGAGGAGGAAGAAGGAGGAATTGTCACGGTCGGACGAGGTGAGCGACGATACAATGAAAATAGATTTTCAAAGGGGTATATCGTTTAACTGCTCTCGATAATTGTACATCGCTCCCGTTACCTTTCCCTAACGAGAAAATGAACTAATAGCGGAGCGAAGTAGCGGAGTAGTATATATACACTCTTCTCCTCCCTTCACCCCTCCTCTTTCCTCGTGATCGCGCCAAGTTAGATTGGATTCGCGAAAAACCGACGACGACTCGACGGCGATCCCCCTTCTTTTTTATGTAGAACAACTTCTCGCCTTTCTCGATATTCGCCGCCGTAATCCTGTTTTTCCGAAAAGACGGGGAGAGCAAAAAAAAAAAAAGAAAGAAAAAAATACGAAAGGAATAGATCGTTAGGAACCTTCCTAGTGTTTTCCTCCACCGCGCGAGATTGAGTTCCATCGATATGATTGATCGGGCGGATTGGAACGGTTTATTACGCCCCGGCCGACAATTTCGAGAATAAGGCGTCGCGGGGGGACATTTGGCCGGGCTTCGTAAGAAGGGAAGAATAAGAACCGGGAATCGGGTTTCGTGCGTGCCTCCTCACCGTAAAGGTATCGGTGTGGAAACTGTTCCGGGGTGAATTATATCCCCGTAAGGTATCATTCCGCGGTAAGAGATGGCACGGCAGCTATCCGATTCCGTTATCTCGTCGCTCCTGTCTGTGAATTCCACCGTGGCGAAATAACAGTCCGAAGAAATAGCGGATTCCTGTGGGTCGAGCCTTTCAACGCTCCTCCAACACGTCCGTCTTCGTTCGCCGACCCTTCATCCTCCCTCCCTTCTTCTCCCGTGAAGAACACGTGAAACACGTGCCCAAGGCAAGAGGAATAATAACGATGACGGTTGGATGCAAAGAAGCTACTCTCTACGACTATATATATATATATGTATCCCTTCCTGTCCACGTATCCTTAAAATTTAAAACGAGGAAATTCATTGTTCCCCCCGCGGCTATGCCCACCAGTCGAACGAAGGGATTAATAATTACGCCAGAAATTCATAGCTTTGTGGGCTGGAAAAAGGAAGGAAGAAGAGGAAAGATTGAAATCGCGACCCCGATCGGAGAGAGAGATAAGCGAGAGGTTGCGCGCCTCGCGTCAGAATGACGGAACGAGAGCGTTGAAATAGAGGCACAAATCAGAGGGTGAACCAAAACTTTGGGGCGGCGGAACGGGAAAACGAAATTTATCGACGATAGGGGAGATCGATGAGACCGAAAAGGCTCCTCTTCAATATATATATATATATATATCCTCGGAGGTACACACGTGTGAGTCAGCTATTAATACCCACAAATTATAAATAATGTCGCTGCCGCGACCACAAATCAGCGTTTGCCGTAATACCGGCGGAGGGGCTTTCGACTGGTCGGAGGATTAAGCGCTTTTCGAGAGACGCCTACCTGATGGTACGCGGAGAGAGGAAGATGAAGGGCGAAAGGAGAGAGAGAGAGAGAGATACCAGTCGATTCTCTAGGTTCAGCTGCGATCGAAAACTCAGAGGAGTGAATCTGTGTGCATTAAACCCCATCCAGAGGAACGTACCACTGCTTTGTGCGAAATATTCTCTCACGATATCGAACCTATTCCGGCTAATATTGATATTGGTATCGGTAGTTAGGTTGGGCGTAGACGATTCTGCCAAGAAAAAGGGGATGAGTCTCGAGTCGAAACGTTAAAGGGGATAAAAAAGGAGAGAGAGAGAGAGAGAGAGAGAGAGAGAGAGAGAGAGAGAGAAGAAGAAAGAACG